GACCGGAGGCGAGGGGGCTGTGAGCCTCGTCTGCGCGCGTAGAACCGAGCGAGGCGCACAAAGGGCAGGCGATAGCCAGAGTGTCAGGCTCCTCCTTCTTGACTAAAAAGGGCCGTCGTTCGCAGGCCAGCGCGCCGGCCGGGGTCCAAAATCAGATACGGTTGAGCATTCCTCCCAGACCGGAGGCGCCGGGGCCGAGAGCCCCGTCTGTGCGCTTAAAGCCGAGCGAGGTGCACAAAGGGCAGGCGAGAGTAAAAGTGTCAGGTCCCTCCTTCTGGGCAAAACGGGCCGTCGTTTGCGGGCAGACGTCTTGGGCGGGCCTGGGCTGACCGAGGTCCGAAATTGGATACGGTCGAGGATTCCTCCCTGACCGGAGGCGAGGGGGCCGTGAGCCCCATCTGCGCGCGTAGAACCGAGCGAGGCGCACAAAGGGCAGGCGAGAGCTGGAGGGTCAGGTCCCTCCTTCTGGGCTAAAAGGGCCGTCGTTCGCAGGCCTATGCGCCAGCCGTCCGGGGGCTATAATTGCATACGGTCGAGGATTCCTCCCAGACCGGAGGCGGCGGGGCCGGGAGCCCCGTCTGCACGCGTAGAGCCGAGCGAGACGCACACAGGGCAGGCAAGAGCTGGAGGGTCAGGCCCCTCCTTCTGGGCAAAAAGGGCCGTGGTTTACGGCAGGCGCCTTGGGCGTCCCTAGTCTGGCCGAGGTCCAAAATCGGATACGGTTGAGGATTCCTACCAGACCAGAGGCGAGGGGGCAGGGATCCCCAGCTGCGCACGTAGAGCCGAGCGAGGCGCACAAAGGGCAGTCGAGAGCTGAAGAGTCAGGCCCCTCCTTCAGGGCAAAACGGGCCGTCGTTCATGTGCCGGCGCGCCGGCCGACCGGGAGCTAAAATTGTATACGGTCGAGGATTCCTCCCAGACCAGAGGCGTCGGGGCCCGGAGCCCCGGTTTCGCGCGTAGAGCCGAGCGAGGCGCACAAAGGGCAGGCGAGAGCCGGAGGGTCAGGCTCCTCTTTCTGGTTAAAAAGTGCCGTCGTTTGCGGGCCGGTGTCCTTGCCGGGGTGCAAAATCGGATACGGTCGAGGATTCCTTCCAGACTGGAGGCGAGGGGGGCGGGAGCCCCAGCTGCGCGCACAGAGTAGAGCGAGGCGCACAAAGGGCAGGCGAGAGCCAAAGGTCAGGCCCGTCCTTCTGGGCAAAAAAGACCATCGTTTGTGGGCAGGCGCCTTGGGCGACCCGGGGCTGGTCGGGGTCCAAAATCGGATACCGTCGAGGATTCCTCCCAGACCGGACGCGAAGGGGCCGGGATCCCCAGCTGCGCGCGTAGAGCCGAGCGAGGCGTACAAAGGGCAGGCGAGAGCCAAAGGGTCAGGCCCGTCCTTCTGGGCA